GTACTATTTTGTCATCAATTGGAAGCTCTAAATCAAACTAAATAGAAGATAATTATTCGTTGCATTTCCATTAAATTTTTTTTATTTGATTTGTTCATTTTACATCAATTTCTTTTTCATCTGAATCGATTTGTGTATTTCAAGTGCAATTTTCAACGCATATGTGGCATTCTCACGTAAGATCACCAACGCACATTTGCTTTAATGGATTATATGAAATGTCTTTCAATTCTTTTTTTCACCATTTGGCTTCACATGTACGTGTATGATGCAATGTTGTGTTGTGCACATAATCAAATCGTGCATTTTGTTTGCGTGCGCTGTGGAGATCATATAACGGCACTGCGATACTTTGTGGCAAAACAAACTGATCGTATTTGAATAAATTAATTTCGCCATTAACCTTGCTTCACACAGGGTGCATTTTTATTGCTCTGAATTTTCTAATTACTAATCGATTCGTGCATATCTGGGTACAATGTCTTCTCTAATCCAGAAATCACAATTAGGATAATCTTCGACAGACAGAGCATCTTGGCCAACATCCAACACTCTTCTTCGTGGTTCATATTGCTTGAGCTCACTATGCGACACATAATGATAGAACAGTTGTTGAATGGCCGAGGCATATCGTCGTTGTTGGAAAGTGTTTGGCTCATAACGACCCAGAATTGCTTGAATGTCGGCATCAACGTCGGCAATTTCAAGGTCACCTCCGGTTTGTGTAACCACATAAAATGGTACGCTTTGTTGGGAGCGTGCAATCACAAGCAATGGACATACAGTGCGGATATCGGAGACAATTTTTACCAAGCCTTGGTAGGTTGCGTTATAACGTTTCAGAACTTCATCGGTTAGGCCCTTCTGCCCAATTACGCTGTCTTGAATATGTTTACGAACCAGCTCGGGTGTCCATTGTGTGTATTTATGCAACAGTTTGTCCGAATGACTTTCGTGGGCGGTCGTTCCAATGACCAGCTTCAATGGTTCTGGCTCCTTCAATACATCGATTGGGTTCTTTTGCAGCACTTCACCATCTAGAACTAACCATTCATGACGAGTTTTGTTTTCATCAGCCATCGGCAAGTCTGGCCACATGCGACGCCAAATATCTGGTACATTGTCTACTAGCTCCTCACATGAAAGTGTGTTCAAGCAGTCACCAGTCGTGCACTCGTACTTGTATTCTTGAGCATTGATGCGTTCATTTTCAGCAAGCGGTCGTCCTGGGAATACCTATGGAACGCGAACGATGAAAAACAATGCGAACGTATTTAGTTTGAAGAATAATCAAAAGCCTCAGCTGAATCAAATAATCTCAGTACACAACTTACCGCTGAGCCCGATGTTACCCAAGCTCTGGCATACAA